CAGGTCAGATAAAAAAACTCCTTCTTGCTGGACTGCCAACCACTTTTTTAAAAACCATTCACGCATATCTTTATAAGCATTTAAATTAGCGAACAACATTCTACCCCTTTCACTTTACTTACTGGAGTACCATAAGGCTAAATTTTAGCTTCTATCCTTTACACAATTTATTACAGTGACCTCCCATGCCCCTACGATTAAAACGAAATAATCCTATATGCCGACGACACAATACTGCTCGCCTCAGAAACAGTAGAGGAAACTGTAAGTAGCTGCTTTACATTCAGTACGTCTCAAGCCCAACTTGACAAAGTTGTCAAATGGCGAAACAAATGGAGAGTCACTCTCAACCCTACCAAGACACAAGCCATCCTCTTCACATACACCTGGGAACTTTCCAAGGAAGGTTCAAAGACTATAGTAACCAGATAGAGCTTTACGGATCTAGACTCCCTTTCAGGAGTTCAGTCAACTACTTGTGTGTTCAATTTCAGAGGAAACTCAATTGGGAGACTGAGCTTAACCTTACCCTTAATAAGGTAATAGGAAGAGCTAAACTCCTTAGTGCTGCATCTAGTAAATTTTGGGGGCATGCAGTAAGACTCTGCTCCACACTTATTAAACTTACATTAGATTACAGAAAGAAAGATCACGTGAAGGCGTGTCCATTTCACGTCGGCAATCACCCGGCAATCGTCTGCTAAAACACCCGAATATAAAAGGAGACCTAGCGTTGAAAATTAATGAAGAGACGAGCAAAACAATAATCATTGATAATGAAGATTCCAACGAAAAATGGGAAACATTTAAAAACACAATAATGATGCCCATTAAAGATACGCTGAGTAGTCACAAAATCGATGAAGCTAATACTTTATGGATGACACATGAGATCCGGCAACTAATGGACAAAAGAAGATCATACAAAAACAAAAATGTATACAATATTGAATACAAAGCCACACACAAGGATATCAAGATAAAAATACGGACAGCTAAAGAAAAGTGGTACAACGACAAATGTTTAGAGATAGAAAAACTCCAGAGAAATCATGATAGTTTTGAATTACACAAAAAAATTAAAGAATTAGCAGCTATAAAACGGTCCAACAATAGTAACACCCTGGTTGATACGAATGGTAAAATAATATCTGATATCAAAGGCAAACTAAATAGATGGAGAGAATACGTCCAAGAATTGTTTGAGGACGACAGGATACAACAAGATAACATAAACGATTGCGAGGAACATGATATAGGTCCTAATATAACTAAGGTTGAAATAATACTTGCAATTAATCTGGTAAAATCTAATAAAACTGCGGAGCCTGACACAATTCCAACTGAAATAATTAAATTAATATCAGAAGATCAGGTCAATGTATTAGTAGACTTATATAATACTATATATAATGCAGGTATTCCGAGAGATTGGCTTAAATCAACATTTATTACATTACCAAAAAAACCTAATGGAAAAAACCTAAAAAAAAACAGATAATGGAAAAATTCCGTGAGCTTCACCAGATGTTCATAGATTTAAAACAAGCATTTAATAGAGTATGCAGGGACAGACTGTGGACAGCGATGCTGGAACTTTGTTTTCCAAACAAACTAGTCAGCTTGATACTTATGTGTATGGAACGGTTACGATGTAAGGTGAGAGTTGGACAACAATATTCGGAGACATTTAAAATAAACAATGGACTAAAACAGGGAGATGGACTTTCACCACAACTCTTCATCTTAGCTATGGAGCACATAATCAGAAGTGCAAGAATCGAAAAACCGAATACAGTATTCCATCTAGAAGGACCAAACTTACTACTGGCATTTGCGGACGATATTGATCTAATAGGAAACACACGATTAAGGATGAAGGAGACTTTCGTGAGGTTCGAGAAGGAAGCAGAGAAGATAGGGCTCCAAGTCAACGAAAACAAGACGAAATATAATGTATATGAGCCGCAAAAACCAAAGCAGAGACTGTATCTGTCAGAACATCACCATCAATGACTTTAACTTTGAGCGCGTTAGAGAATTCAAGTATCTTGAAACAACAATAACTGAAGACAATAGCGGATCAAAAGAAATAAACAACAGGATTTAGGCCGGCAACAGATGTCTTTTTGCTCTCCAAAACCTTATAAAATCGAAACAACTAACAAGACGTACGAAGATCCAGGTCTATAAAACAATCATACTACCCGTTGAGATGTATGGAAGCGAAACGTGGATGATAACAAAGCAAACGAAGAAAGACTATGTGTTTGGAGAAGAAAAATCCTAAGAAAGATCTTTGGTCCTGTGCTGGATGAAGCATCAGGACAATATAGGATAAAAACTAACAAAGAGCTCGAAGAACTTTACCCAGACGCCAACATCATAAGAGAAAAAAAGTCTAGAAGACTGCAATGGACAGAACACAGAAGAGATTCTGACGAACGAACAGTAAGACTGGTGTGGGAGGAAATCCCAACTGGAAGGAGACCACGTGGACGCCCTCGTCTCCGGTGGCGAGATAATATAGAAGGAGACCTATGCACTATGGGCGTGGAGAATTGGATGGAGGTTGCTCCAGACAGAAAACATTGGAAGCATGTTGTCGAGTCAGCTAAAACCCACGAAGGGTTGTAACGTCACGGAGTAAGTAAGTAAGTAAGTAAGGGAATGTAATGATTACCGTACAATTAATCAAATGAGCCACATACTCAAAATATTCTTAAAAATTATCCGTTTAAGAATTTTCAGAAAAGTGGAACAAGACATTACTGAAACCCAATTTGGATTTAGAAATGCCATAGGTACACGTACATGTATGGATGTAAACCAACCACTCTGTTTGTTTTATTGATTACAATAAGGCATTCGTTAAGGTCCGACACAACCGGCTTATGCAGTTACTTAAAGATAAAGACATTGATAAAAAATACTTAAGAATAATATCTCATCTCTACTTCAACTAAACAGCAAAAGTCAGAGTAGGCAAAGAACTTTTGGAGGAAGGAAGTAGAGATAAAAAGAGGCGTAAGGCAAGGTTGCATACTGTCCCCCTTATTGTTCAATCTGTATTCGAAAGAAATAATTAAAAAATCACTTAAAAATGTAACAATTGGAATAAAAGTAAACGGCAGACTCATCAAAACTATCAGATATGCCGATGATACTATACTAATTGCAGATAATATACAAGATTTACAGACACTCATAGATAATTTAGTAAATGCTAGCGAGGAAAGAAGACTAACGCTTAATGCTAATAACACAAAATTTATGACAATTTCCAAAACACAAAAACAAGACATTTTAAACATAAGAGTGGTTCCAATAGAAAAAGTAAAAAAGTACAGATATCTTTGTACAATTATTAATAAAAATACTGAGTATACAAGTATACAGAAGAAATAAAAATGAGAATTGACCAAGCTAGAGCAACATTTAATAATATGAGAAAAGTATTGTGCAGACCTTAGTTTAAAACTCAAAATAAGAATATTACGTTCATATGTGTTGTCGGTGCTGCTGTATGGGGTGGAGACCTGGACCTTAAAGGAAGAGGTGAGCGATTGACTTGAAATATTCCAGATGTGGACCTACCGAAAAATATTAAAAATAAGTTGGGTAGACCGAATAACAAATGTTAAGGTCCTCAGAAAGATGACAGAGAAATGAACATCATGAATACGATGAAGATAAAAAAGTAACAATATCTCGGGTATGTTATGAGAGAGGATAAATATGCATTGCTACAAACCATAATGCAAGCAAAAATACAGGGAAAATCGACTTGTTCAGAGCTGCAATCTCAAAAGTGAAAATAGTTGTGATAATTACCAATCTCCTTAGAGGACATGGTACCTAAAGAAGAAGAAGAGATAAGATCAAAAATGTGTAAAGCTGATGCCAATAATGATTTATGCCTCACAAACAAGACGCAACACAATCACAGCACAGATTACTGGAGAGATCAAAAGAGAAGTGAAGACATTAGAAGAAAATTTAATGTACAGTGTATAAACGAATGGATACTAACCAGAAAAAAGAACAGAATAACTACATAAGCAGAATGGGGGAGGGCCGTGTGGTAAAAATAACCGAATAAAAATAACCAACTGATAAATCACCAATGGCTAGAAAAAGTATGTGACGACCGCGCAATAGATGGAAAGACAACCATTCATAGAGGTATCAATCCGCCAATGAACAAGCATAATTGCTTATAAAGAGTATGATGAAGAAGAAAATTATAATAAAAAAGTAAAAACAAAAGAAGAAGAATATAAAAATAAAAAAAAAATTAGAATAGGTCCATAAAATTAAATAAAAAAAAAAGATTGTAAAAAAGAAAAAATCAATTAAAATTTTAAACGATAATATAAGAATAACTAATTTTATCAAGGAACGAATAAAATATTGGTAACAATATGTAACAACAATGGGAGTAAAATAATGCCAGAATTAGTCATGTAGTCAATTCTGCAGATGAGAAGAAAATGGAGACACTGACAAAATTCAGTAATATTGTTAAAGTATATCTAAAAATTAAAAAGATAGAAGAAAAGAAGATATAGTCACAGTATATAGAAATATCCTAACCAATATTACCAAAAAAATATAGAGATCTCAAAAAAAAATAAGTCGTAAAGATAGAATAAAATAATTTATAATTTTATTGTTTATAAGATATTGAAGATATATTATTTTAACTTGTATTTTCTGGACCTTCATTATTTGTTGAGCTAAGTGCATAATAAATACCTCTATTAAATTAGAACATAAAGGTAAAACATTTATAAAATATTGCATAAAATACAAAAATATTGGCGACGAATCTAAAAACTATATAAAGTTGTTAGATTAAAATATAAATGTTTTTAACATATATAGCAAAAAACCTCAGCGTAAATTGCAACTGATCTAATTATACCATAAATGGCTGTAGAGTAATTTGTGAGGTAACGCCTGTGATTTATGTCCAGTAAGTTTAAAGGAAGCCCTACCTTCGTCAACATTATGTCACACTAGAAGTACTGCACAAAGATAAAGCTAACACTGAACTGCCCACCCATCCCGAACGGATCTTTTATACTCAATCTTACCCCGTATGTTTAAACCTCCATCCAAACTTGAATCGACAAAGAAAAAATTAATGCACATTTGCTATGTTTGATTTTTAGGAAAAAATTATGCAGTAACTGCATTTGTCAGTAATTGGAACTCGAAAGCTACCATATAGTTAACTGATTGCAAGGTCGGCATTGAATCACAAACTTTTTCAAATGTTGCGACGGATCTAGACAAACTTGATGGTAATTTTTCTTGTCTGATATATCTCGTTGGGTGTGTCTCTTTTGTACATTTCGGTTTGCATGTATGGTATCGAATTAGGTTAATGCATTTTCTACTGCATATTATTAGTATTGTTCGATTTAACTAATCTTTTATAGGGCATAACGATTATGATTACGATACGATAATCATAATCAGTCATAGTAGACTAAATAAAATCGTCATGTAATCACATGGAAAAATAAAGAGAAATCAACTAAAGGTTGAAAATTCAGAAAAACAATAATTTCCAATAGGTTTTGCTTTTTTGCATACAAGGTTTAGTGTGTAGTTAAATTTTATGAACAAAAAATTTTCATGAATTTTTGTAGAATATATAAAGTTTAAATATGATTTAGCTATTATGAATTATTTGTTTCTTTTTTTGTTTACCCAAAATATTCTTTAATTTGTATACTCAATATATAAAATATAAAGTTAGGAAGTATAGCAAATCAATATACACTGTATATCAGCCAAATGGAATAAATTAGCTGATAAATAAATGAAGGAGTATTCGAAAAAACGGCCGAACAAATCGATTGTTATTTATAGTTGCGTATTTTTTTCTATAAAAACTTTTTATAAGGGGTGCATCAGATAACGGTGGCCAATATCAAATTGCTTATTTTCATTATCATCATCAATCAGCCCTGAGTTGTCCATTGTTGAACATAGGCCTCCTTTAAACTTTTCCATCTGCTTCTGTTCTAGGCCTTTGCTATCCAATTGGTCACGATTCTTTTGAGGTCGTCGGTTCATCGCGTTGGTGGTCTTCCTCGGCTTCGCTTGTCAGCCCGTGGTCTCCACTCAAGCAATTTTGTTGTCCAACTGTCATCTTGCATTCTTGCAACATGTCCTGCCCATCATTTTTGCCTTATAATATGTTCGATAATATCTTCCACTCCGGTTCGTCTACGAACTTCCTCGTTTCTTATTCTATTTTGAAAGCTTATTCCAAGCATTGATCTCTTCATCTTTCGTTGTGTCCTCAATTTTTCGGCTGATGTTTTTGTGAGAGTTAAGGTTTCTGCTCCGTATGTGAGGACTGGTAGAATGCACTGGTTAAAAGCTTTTCTTTTTAAATGGATCGGTATATTTGTTTTAAACACGTCTTTCATTTTTCCGAATTCAGCCCAACCCAGACTGCTTCTGAGTAGCTCGCATGTTTGGTTATCTCGCGTTAACCTTATTTCGTGACCCAAATACACATATTTTTTCACAAGTTCTATGGGCGACTTTTCGATTTCTATTAGCTCATTGGGGACGAGATTGGTCATCATTTTTGTTTTTTCGTAGTTTATTTTTAAACGACTTTCTGGGTTACTTGCTGTAGTTGTTGTAGCATACCTCTGGCTTCTCTTAAGTTGTCTGTTATGAGAACAATATCATCGGGATATCTGAGATAATTGAATATCTCTCCATCGATGCTAATACCCTTTGATTCCCACTCTAGCCCTTTAAATGCGTACTACATAACTGTTATAAATAGTTTTGGTGACAAGGTATCTCCCTGCCGCACCCCTCTGCCAATTTTTATATTCTCAGTCATGCAATGGAGGTTAACGGGTATTGTCGTATTTTCGTATATATTTCGAATAATATTTGCATACCTGTGATCTATCCTGCATTCTGATAGTGCTTTTAAGATAGCAACTATTTCGACTGTGTCAAATGCTTTGTGGAAGTCGACAAAGATAATAGCAAGGGTCTGTTATATTCGATAGACTTTTCAACTAGAGCTTTAAGGAATTACAAATGGTCGTTTGTTCCGTGTTCCGCTCGAAATCCTGCCTGTTCTTCTGATTGATAGAAATCGAGTTTTGCTTCTAATCTGTTTGTCAGTATTCGAGTAAAGGGCTTTTTGGTCGCTTATAGGTGGTTAAGCAAACTAATTGGCCTATAGTTTTCGTGGTTAAGCAAACTAATTGGCCTATAGGTTTCGAGATCTGATTTATCCCCTTTTTTGTGGAGGAGGATTGACACCGAATTCTTCCATTTACTTGGAATATTTTCACTATGCAGACATAGATTAAAAAGTGTTTGGATTTGGGACATCAAAAGTGAACCTCCTAGTTTAATTGTCTCAATTACTACACCATCTTCCCCCGGAGCTCTAATATTTTTCATATTTTTGAGGGCATGTTGAATTTCCTCTCGTGATATATCTGGTATATCCTCCGATCCTACATTATGTACCTTTTGTATTGGTTGTTCGATGAGCTCTGGAATAACTTGACTTTTATATAATGTTTCATAGAAACTTTCCACTATATCTAATATGCTTGGTCTATCTGGGATAATATTTCCATTTTTGTCTTTAACTTAAGGACAAAAAAAATTGCTTATTTTAAATAGTATTAATTCATTTTTAGATTTATCAGATCATTTTAGACATTTTTTAAATACAATGTCCTATACCTATCTTGGACTGTTTCGGAAATATTAAGTAAAATGCAAAAATTCACATTTAGAAAAGAAAATTATTGATTTGTCGAAAGTCGCTACCACCTTCTTAATACTTCTTGCCCATTTAGGTCTTGATAGTCATAAAGTAAACAAAAACTATTTAAGCATTCCTTTTTATTGATATGTTGAACACAACAAAAAATTGTTTACTTTGGTTTAAAACGCCAAGGTTTCATTGTTCCATGACAGAAGTAGTTGTCAGTGGTATAGTCGTTTGAATTTCATTAACCGTAAGCCAGAAAAATGGTTCATTTAACAGAAATGCTCAAAATTACAATTATATAGATGATTTTCTATGGAGATAAGACACAGACGCAAATGGAAGTAGCTCGTTTATTTCACGAAGTATTTCCTGATTTTCCGCACGTATCTCAAAGGACAATTAGTAAAATAGAGAAACAAATTTCACGAGCTGGGCCATGTTAGGAAGGTAGAAAAAAGAAGCTGCCAATGCAATAAGTTAGGATACCAAATTGGCTGTTATGCTTGAGTTTGAGGAACACCCACATTCGAATATTACAAGAAAACAAAATGCATCTCTATAAAATTATACACACTCAGGAGCTCATGAAATAAAATTTTCACAGGATAACGTACTTTTGTGAACAAATGATGGCAATGTTAGACAGCAATGTGATCCAATTAGAACATGTTTTGTTTTTTGATGAGTGCACCTTTACTCTTCACGGTCATGCTAATCGGCAAAACTGCCGCTATTGGTCCAGAAAAAACCTTCACTTGATGAGAGAAGGCAATACTCTGAGAAGGTTAACGTGTCAGCAGGAATTATTGAAGATCAGATCATAGGTCCCTTTTTCACAGATGGCAATTTGAATGACGACAATTATTTAGCATTGCTCCAAAATAATGTAGTGTCAACGTAAGCCAACTTGTATCCTGATCCAGGAAACTCACAAGTTCCAGCGAATATGATATGGTTCCAACAAGATGGAGCACCACAGCTGTACAAAATTCATGTCCAGCAGTACCTCAACCAAATATTTCCAAATTGATGGATAGGGAGGCAAGGATTAATGAAATTGCGACCACGATCCCCCGATTTGACGCCATTAGACTTTTTCTTATAAAGATATGTGAAAAGTATTGTATACAAAACTAAACCCACTGACTTAGCTAACTTACGAAGACGAATAAGGGTTGCGATTAGATCGATCCCATCTGATATGTTGAGTAACGTTGGAAGAAATTTCTATTCACAGCTAGGGTGTTGCCAAGCCCTTCGTGGGGAGCATTTTGAACATCTCCTACATTTATTGATTGATTATTGTTTAGATTTGTATTATTTAGAAGTTTTTGAATATGTTGTGGCGACTTTCGGCAAATAGACAATTTTCTCTTTCAAATGAGATTTTTTGCATTTTACTTAATATTTCCGAAACAGTCCAAGATAGGTATAAGACATTGTATTTAAAAAATGTCTAAAATAATATGAGAAATTCGAAATTAATTAGTATACAGGGTGTTCTATTTAAACTAAGAAAGTTGGTGTTGACCACCGTTATCTGATACACTCCGAAAAAAAAGTTTGTATGGAAAAAAATGCGCAACTATAAATACTAATCGACTTGTTCAACCGTTTTTTCGACAACTCTCTGATTTATTTATTAGCTAATTTAGTCCAATTGGTTAACACACAGTGTATACATAACCAATAGAATATACACAAATATACACAAATATAATTTCAGTAAAACTAAACTAATCTGTCAAACAAAGATGACAAACCTATGATAAACATCGAAGGGAAAGAGATAGAACACGAAGATGAATATACATAATATGTGGGTCAAAATGTCAAGGCAATCAAAGAAAATCAGACTACCGAAATAAGCAGACGTGTAAAATGGGATGGGCAGCATTCGGAAGACTCTCATACGTACTTAAAAATAAAAATATACCTCAAAGATTGCGAACCAAAGTGTTCAATTCCTGTATCCTACCTGTACTTACATATCGCACACCAGCATGAAAAGTGTAGCAACTCAAAAATGTGAGTATTTGAGTTAAGGTCATATTTAAATTCCTCGAATAATTACCTATTCGCCAATAAAACTGCAGTTATTGTATTCTTCCTAGTGTGTCACAGGTGACGTTGTAAGTCGGTTTTGCTGAATGATAACTCGTTCGCCCTCAGTATAAAACCGCGCCATTTTTAGTTACGCTCCGACTTTCGTGCAGAGTGTACGGTTTCACAGTGTGGCATTTTGAGTTGCAACGGTTTTGGTGAGTAAACTTGATAAA